TGTTCCACGATCATGAGTATCTCCAATGTTCCACAATCATAAGTATCTCCTATGTTCCACAATCATAAGTATCTCCTATGTTCCACAATCATGAGTATCTCCTATGTTCCACAATCATGAGTATCTCCTATGTTCGCGAGTATCTCCTCTGTTCACGAGTATCTCCTCTGTTCACGAGTATCTCCTATGTTGGCGAGTATCTCCCACGTTCAACAATTGTGAGTACGTTCTGTCTTGTATTGGATCCACAACTGTGGTGTAGCAGCGAGGTGCCTCGACTTGCACACATGAGAGCCCAGTTCCATTCCCGAGTTGGGGGTATCTTTATCGAGTGCCTCAGTATTTCTGCTGAGTTTGCCTTGGCAGGACTCCTAAAATGACCTAGTTTGTGTCGACGAGAGTGACAAAATATTGATTACATTTCGACTTGTGATGTCTCAGACTGGGGGCTCCGGGGGCTAAGTGAGCACTGAGTGCACACTCCAGTATTGTCAAACAAGTGTCGGTGACACGGGGATCAGATGGGTGGTCACTGGTGTGTGTGTGTGTGTGTGTGTGTGTGTGTGTGTGTGTGTGTGTGTGTGTGGGAAAAGGTATCGGTAAGTTTGCCGAAAAGCCGGGAATGTTTCAGAGTCTCAAAGTGGACCCTGAGATGACGGCAGATGTGAAGAACAGAACACGGCTATATCCAGCTGGATTGTTCTAGAGTGGCCTTGGATGATCCGAGCTCGGAATATTGGCTATCCCCACTGCCCACTAGAAATCCCCAAATCCACTCCCCCCCCCCTCCCTCCCATTAGTGGGTGGTGTTGCTCAGGTGAGAAAGCGCTGCCCGAGAAAATGTCTCTCACCTCCTTCTGGAAACCACACGTGCGTCATTCGTGTGTGTAGAGCAAAAGGAGAATCTCTCACACCGCCCTCTGACGTAGATCAAATCTGCCAACTTGTGCACGCACGCCGCCTCAGAAATGACCCAAATCGTAACCGTACTTCACCAAAACTAAAACAAAATAAAACCGATTGTCAAATTGACTTAAGTAACCACGCCGAAAAGTACAATAGGCCTGTAGGTCAATATAGGTCAATATAGGTCAATATAGGTCAATATAGATCAATAGAGGTCAATAGAGGTCAATATAGGCATAACCCTTGACCCTGTGACTCCAGCCGTCAGAACGGACGCCACAAAAGGTGCCTAGAGACGGTCAAATATTAGTCCAACCAACATTCCGACTCCAGAATCCTCCCCGTGAGTCGACTAACGTCGGGAAACGATAATATACGACCGTTATATCGTCCCGGCTTCAGCTTAGAGGATATTATTGAGGGGGTTGTTTGATCCGACTGGGTAGTAGAGATGGAAGTAACGTGCACGCTAGTCCATCAAACAGCAAGCTCAGTGAACAAACAGAGCCAGTATCGATTGCTTTGTTCTGCACACTTGCTAAGGAAACAGAGGACGGCGAAGAGGGAGGGGAACGATGGGGAGAAGGAAATACGGAGGAAGGTGGGGGGGGGGGGCACAGCGTAAAAACCGCAAACCTTCCTTACACGCAGAATATTGTGGGTTCAGACTTCCCATTTGTGTAGCCTTCTATAGCTGGATTCTATAGTAGATGTACACAGTGGAACACACTGTATATGAGTGCTGCTATTGAGCGTTCAGAGCCTGTGTCTTGTAATCAGGGTTGAGAGCTATATTTATGTTATATATTATGTTTGTCATCGCGGTAAAATAATGCTCTCGTCAAAATAATGACGTCGAAGGAACAGACGTTTTTCCGCCTCTCGGTCATTTTTTAATTGGTTTTGTTTTTATTTATTTAATTTCTGGCTCAACATATTAAGTTACTTCCATTAAAAAATCATTCTTACTGTGTACATTTGTACTGAAAAAACGTGTTGAAATGCACTAACTAAATGGAAGTTTGCAGTCTCCATGCGCGCTACAGATTTGAAACTCCACAAACATTGAGGGCCATTTTTGTTGCTAATTTTAGCTCCGACACCAGGCGGTGGGGAGCTCCTTCTGTGGCAAACTTCCCGACAACTAGTCAAAGGTATGGCTGTTATTTTCAGTAAAAGAACAGTAAATTAAAACAGGCTTTGGGATAAACCAATACAGTGGAACCTGTGTAAGACGGCCACCCATTGTCAAGGAGAAAAGTGGCCGTAAAAGACAGGTGGCCGTCTAATGCAGGACTAATCAAAATGAAGAAAATAAACCATTTACTTCGGAGGTCCCAACTGGAGGTGGTCTCAGACTCAGGACTGCCCCTAGGGCTGATTACAATTTGCTGCTGTTGTTGTCGTTCTATTTCTTTTAAAGGGAGAGATGATAGGACGGTTTTTGTGGGTCAGTTGTTATTAGTTTTTTGGGGTTTTTTTTAAAATGATGGCTCCAGGAAAGGTCAAAACAAAACGAAATGTGTCAGACGAGGAAGGCCACGTGTCATAGTCAAACAAACAAATGGGTCGCCAGCACTCGGAGAACGAGCGACACTTCTGTCGCGAGTTTGTGTTGACTTCCATTGTTATGGACTGAGTTTACTGACTGAGTTGTGGGCGGGGCTTATAGGTTATGACGGATCACACGCTTCCCTTACCAGCAGCTGAAAATTTATTGTTACCCATTAGTTAACTTGGGTAAACATTGGAAGTGACCTAAGCAACATGACCGCTGCATCCATTGGAGGGACTGACAATAACGACAGGTGAATGGAGGGACTGACAATAACGACAGGTGAATGGTTTTACCCAGTGAAATTATATTTTTTTAAACGCAAGGGGGGGGGGATGGAAAGTGGCCGTATGTACAGGTCATAGCAGAGCTCATTCCAAACTTCACGTCTTTTTTCTTCTCACAAATTATCGTCTCCAGATAGAACATTCTTGCACTACACGCGCATTTCCCTGTCGCGTCACTGAGCGACGTAAGCGAGGAATTACCTCAGCGGTACAACATGCTCCCAAAAACAACCTTGCTTGATAAACTTGTTTTGTGACCTCATTTACACGAAGTCCTGTTTACCAAGTCAAAGTCCACGCTGTTTGGGCAAATATGGAGTTGTTCCGCACTGAAATTTCCCTTTTTTGGACGTCCCTTTTCACAAATCGGACTACAGTATCCTACAGTATCCGACAAATATTATGTTTACTTTGAGGACCGATGTCTATACTTAGTCTAAAAACAAACTGAAATTACTTCTTCAGTCAGAAATGAATAGTGTACACCAAAGAGAAAGTTTCGGTACACACCCTGCCGGGAGCCATCTTGAGAGCGAGGGGTGGAGACAGATCTACAGGAGAGCAATTTTACTTCAGGTTTAGTTTCAATTCTTCGCCATTCTTACTTGCAGGTTTGATTTAAGAAACGAGACATTCAGCAAACGTCCAGTCCTGACAGTTGAGGTTTAGAACTACAACAGTTTTGCTTCAAGGAACTCGTTGCTGCGTATGTGGAAAATGTCAGGAGTGATCAGCAAGTTGGTCACTGGCGGGAGCTGCTGCTGTTTGGTGAATGCACGACGGGAGATTTAAAAATTGTTTGTTGGTTTGTTTTTCTTTTTGGGTTTTTTTGGTTTTTGTTTGTTTTGTTGTTTTTTTGGGGTGATGGGAAGATGACGACAAGTCACGCGCAAGACCCACGCTTGATATTTCTGCCTACCTTTGTTATCTGTCAGAGAAAATTATGAAGTATTACGTCAATCAGCTGTTTAGATTAAACTAGGCCCGAATTTTGAGAGGAAAAAAAACTAATTTCACTTTTTAAAATATATGGTATGGGGGTGCAGGTGCTCCAGAAATATTTTGTCGAATCGAAACTGTTCAGTTGAAAAAAGCACCCCAAAAAAGAGTACACATATTTCTAGACGATTCGGCCATACTTGGGCTCCTTCGGGTTGACTATGACGTAACTGCTTATCAAAAATTATATATATATAGTAAACTTCTGTAAGTGTTTGAAAGCTAAAAACTGGTTTTAAATGGGGGGGGGGAGCTTGGGGCAGCTTGAAAAGCATGTTTTAGACTTTTTTAAGTTGCTCAAGGAAATGATGATCTGCTTTTTTGTACATTACAAACTCTGCCTCCTATATGATTTCTACTAAAGTTCGTTGGCGATATCTTCTTGACGAGAAACAACTAGTATCTCTCATCAAGGCGCACGTAGTCAATTTTTTGTTTCTTTTATATAATATATTTATTTTTATTTT